GCCAGTCGACTGGGCTGCGCTCTATGCAGCGGGTTCCCCCCCCCCCCTGCTGAGTCTTTTTTTTTGGCTCCCATTTATTGTCCGCAAGGGCCTGGCCCTATGTAGACATAACGTACGGTACATGCGCTACTCCCATGTGTACGATATCGAAGCAGAAACATTGGACTTGCGGAGTCTTGACTGAGGGATCTGAGAGTCATTCCGGTCCTCCAGATTGATATATCGTGCCTTGACCACGTGTAAATTACGTCACATTCAAGTCACACCTCCATGCGGCCACGCAGCGGCGCAGTCTTGGTGCCAACTTGGTGCAGTCAACTGGCGACTCCACTGCGCCTCGCTATAAAGCCAGTGTTCCTGCCCGCTCTCACACACCTCGAACTCCAACTCTCATACCCACAGCCCACTCGATTCCCCACAATACCAATTTCACGATGGTCAAAGGCTCAGACGTTTGTCTTATTTTGGTATGCATCCCCTTCAACAGCCCTCCAAGCAGTCTGTTGAGCTGCCCATATGCATGACTAGATCGCTATCATATTCCCTCCAGCTGCTGCAGCGTTTATCACGGGGTGCAGCTGTGACCTACTCATCAATATCCTCCTGACAGTGTAAGTGATTATACATGTATCGGGTTTCGTGAATTCATCGCTTTGCAGTTTAGGATATCTTCCAGGCCATATTGTATGTTTCGTTGATAATTTTACTTATGATTCTGACGCTCACGATTCGCTCCGTAGCATGCGTTCTGGCTGATTTACAGAAAGATGAAGGCAGAAGAGCGATACGGCCGAGGCGGCTTCCAGTGTATGTGCCCCTCCGTAGTACCTTCTTTCTGTACTGATCACAACGTACAGACATCGGGAACGGTCAGTACGAGCCTTTGTACGGCGGCCCGGCTGGTGTTGCCCCTCCGCCTGCTGCGAACTACGGCGCCACTGGAGGCAATTATGTCCGGTGAAACGTTCAAACATGGCTTTTCGTTCATTCGTTTTCGCATTTTCACCCGTGAATAATTATGTATACCGCATATGCTCCTGTCGCTCCTCCAGACTGTATACGTATTCGTTGAATAGCTGTACTGTGCGCCCAATCATGCGAACATCGCGAAAGCAACAAGGCCATGGCTACATGTACATGACCAGAGTTATCAGATGGAGTGAACACACTGCTTGCGTATTGTTATAATCACATGCATAGAATATTGATGTATCTCCCGTGACAAACTCTTCTACCGTAGCAATGCGGCAACAAAGTAATAAAGGAAGAAAGATGCACAAGCACCCAAATCAATATTGCACCATAAAACCACTTCAGAAGCTGCGGTGGGAGAGCCGCTGCGTCTGTACACAACAGGTGCTTCCGAGAAGATTATCGTATCCAAACAATGGCCTCACAGTTTTCTGTATAACCGCAAAACAATGTCATAAGTTCCAATTATGACCTAGTATCACCCTCATTGTAATGCTGACGGCCCATTTTGCAAGTCATCGACAACACCCTAGACAGATGGGCACACAGATCGCGCCGTTGAGCAACAAAGGCATAGCGAATCATAGTCACTAGAGAAAAAGGACACAACGCGTCATACGATAGTATATAGCAAGAGGAAGGGGAACAGGAAGAGGACAACGGAGATTCGGGCAAGAAATTGTTATCAGCTTTAGTTCGAGCGGCGACCGAAAGCGCGACGCGTTCTCGACGCGTCTCGTGTCTCGTCGCGTCGCGTAACGCGCGTGAATTTGGCAGCCAAATATTCCTCCACGGCTGTTGGTACTGTCTTAGTCTATCATCTCCAACCCTGTATAGGGCCAGTCGTACTCTTGCTACACGTTTCCTACCCAGGTGACAATCCCGCTTGACCGCTTCTTACAAACAATTTTCCGTGAGAGGCTGCTAGTTGTCATCAATATTCACAAATATCGCCGTCAACTTCGCAAGCATGTCGTTAATGTATGGGAAGGAGAAGGATGCAGATCATGAGATTGGTGAGCCTCGCGTGTGAATACGTTAGTTTGCTTTGAACTCATACAGACGTGTAGACAATACTTCACATCCTGGGTTCATCAAGTTCTTTGCGGGGCTGCCTCCCAAATCTCCTGAGACGGGCACAGTGCGCCTCTTCTTTCGAAACGAATATTACTCGGCGCATGGGCCTGATGCACTTTACGTCGCTTCTCATGTTTTCCGCACGAACTCTGTTGTCAAGTATCTCGGGGCAGGGGGCAAGTCTGGCCTTCCCAGTGTGACTATGACGGAGAGTTTGGCGAAACAATTTCTTAGAGAAGCCTTGACGGCTAAACAGCTCAAGGTCGAAATATGGGGCCCCGAGGCTGGACAAGGAAAGAAGGCGACCAAGTTCAAGTTGGATAAGGAGGTGCGCCGTGCTCCACTACCGCTACATTCCTTGTGATGCTGACTGTAGACTTTGTATGAAGGCTTCACCAGGTAACTTGCAGGCTGTGGAAGACCTCTTATTCGTCAATACGGATATCCTGTCCGCACCCATTGTTATGGCTATTAAGACTGCGTCTACGTCTGCCGTGGGCGGCGGCTCATCCAAGGCAAAAACAACATCCATTGGCATTGCCTTCGCGGACACAAGCACTCGTGAAATTGGGGTTGCCGATTTCGCTGACAACGACTTGTTCTCGAACATTGAGGCACGTTACTGTACCACCTGCTGATATTGAGTCTTGGCTTACATGTTTTCTAAAGACGCTAGTAATTCAGTTGTCTGTGAAAGAGGCGCTCATACCCACCGGGACCTCGAGTGGGACGACTGAACGGGATTTTGAGCTGAAGAAACTTAAAGAGGTTCTTGACCGCTGTGGCGTGGTCATCACAGAGCGCAAACCAAGTCAGTGAGTTGCACACAGCTCGTTGTTGCCGTGCTGACATGCACATATAGGCGAGTTCACTGCGAAGAATATAAAAGATGACATGGTTAGGCTCTTGAACCCAAGTTCCATACCATCGTCATCGAATGTCGATACCTCCCAAGTTATCCGTACGTGTTTGCACAATCTTGTTCGAAATCATCGAGGAGTTAATCCTGCGATGGTTAGCCGAGCTTTCGCTCCCTGTTGCTCCGTCTGCGTTATCGGCGCTCGTCTCCTACCTCTCCCTTCTGACGGATCCAAGTAATCACGGCGCATTTACACTCCGCGCGCATGATCTATCACAGTTTATGAAACTGGATGCTAGCGCGCTCAGGGCCTTGAATCTCATCGAGGCTCCTGGAACTATAGTGCGTTTTGTAATCACTCGCTACTACCTACGCCTTATTTTGCTCCTAGGGTTCGAACAAAAACACTACTTTGTTCGGGCTATTGAACAAGTGCAAGACTGCGCAGGGCTCTAGACTTTTGGGTAGCTGGCTCAAGCAGCCCTTGGTCAATCTGCATGAAATTCGTTCGTGTTTCTTCCGGCGGTGTTTCTAGTAAGGGTATCGCGCTTACTGATTTCGTGATTGTGTCAGACAAGCGACAGAACTTGGTCGAAATTCTTGTAGAAGATGCAAACGCCAGGAGGATTCTCCAAGTAGGGTTCATCGGAGGCTAGTGCTGGCTGGCTGATTTTCTGAGATCGAATTAATAGGATGATTACCTGAAGATGATGCCTGACATGCATCGAATTTGCAAGCGATTTCAAAAGTCCGTGGCATCCCTTGAGGACGTTGTACGCATATACCAAGCTGTTCTGAAGGTAACGATGATGGTATCAACGACCTACCTTCAAACTTACTCGAAATTTTCTCATTAGTTGGAAGGTCTTATCGCTACCGTTGAGGGAATTGAGACGGTGCACGAGGGGTACAAGGAGTTGATTGAGGAAACATACCTCACGAAGTTGCAAGTGCGTTCAATAATACGATGAACAGGCTAGTTTTATACCCGTTGCCTCAACAGGAATCTAACAGTAGTCTGTCCAAGTACGCTGAGATGGTGGAGCAGACCCTTGATCTTGATGAACTGGAACGTCACAACTTTGTTATCAAACCAGACTACGACGCCCGGTTGCAGACGTTGGCCGATAAACTCAAGGACCTGCGAGATGGCCTCGACCAGGAACATCGAGATGTGGCTAATGACTTGGACATCGAAATTGACAAGAAGTTGCACCTGGAGAATTCTCCTACTTACGGCTACTGCTTCCGGGTTACGAAGAACGTGTGTCTCTAGTTCTTTTTGAGACACTCGTATGTCATTGACACGTGCCAATTGCTCTCTAACAGGATTCAAAAGTCATCGCGAAGCAGAAGAAGAAATACACCGAGTTATGCACCCTCAAAAATGGTGTATTTTTTACTACACGCACGTTGAAAGAGCTTGCCACAGACTATCAAGAAACCACGGAAATGTATGCCAAAACCCAGAGTGGATTGGTCAAGGAAGTCGTCAACATTGCTTGTAAGCTGCTCAATAATCTCAAGATACAATTTGGGAGTCCTGACATCAGCAAGCTACTTACACGCCCGTACTTGAGTCCTGGAACACCGTCCTCGCACATTTGGATGTGATTGTCAGGTAAACGTCTGAATTCAATCGCGAAAAGCTGGTATTGATGATAGTTCAGTTTCTCTCATGTGGCAGTAAATGCGCCGGAGAGTTATGTGAAACCTCAAGTCTTGGAGCAAGGTAAACTACTTACGCGCTCTTTTGTTGAATTGTTGAATAAATCTCACGGTTTGACATAGGTTCGGGCAGTTTGATTCTTAAGGACGCACGCCATCCGTGCCTAGAAGTTCAAGACGACATGAGCTTCATACCAAATGACATCCAGATGATCAAGGGTACGTTGAGTTGCGATGTTCAGATTGCTAACAGCTGAACATGTCTTGGCAAGACGAAAGCGAGTTTCAGATTATCAGTAAGATTCTTTTCTCGAAAAGGGTCTTCTGAACTCACGATTTCCCGCACAGCTGGTCCAAACATGGGAGGCAAGAGCACATACATTCGCCAGGTTCACACTCATTCATCTCTTCTCGCCCGACATTGACCCGAATATCAACAGACAGGCGTTATCGCTCTCATGGCGCAGACTGGGAGCTTCGTTCCCTGCTCAGAAGCGAGCTTGCCGGTGTTTGATTCAATTCTGTGTCGTGTTGGTGCCGGGGACAGCCAGTTGAAGGGAATCTCCACATTCATGGCAGAGATGCTGGAGACCGCCACCATTCTTCGGGTTTGTTTCGCCCCCTTTCTCGTCCAATGGGGATTCACTCATTATCCTGTCTAGTCGGCGTCAAAAGATTCGCTCATAATCATTGACGAGCTGGGGCGAGGTGAGACCACAATACAATTTGTACTTGCGCCTAATGCATCGTTACATAGGAACTTCGACCTATGATGGGTTCGGACTAGCGTGGGCTATCTCAGAGTTTGTGATACCAAACTCAATGAGTTTTCGCGGCCTAACTCTATCGCCAGGCATATAGCCTCCAAAATCCGCGCCTTTTGTCTCTTTGCCACTCATTTTCATGAGCTTACTGCTTTAGATCAAGAGATAACCCATGTAAAGAACCTTCACGTAGTTGCACACGTGTCAAAGTCCGATGAGAATACTCGCGACCGCGACATCACTCTCTTATACAAAGTGGAGCCTGGTGAGCTGAGCTGTTTCATGTATGACATATCTTCGACGTGATTTCGCAGGTGTTTGCGATCAAAGCTTCGGAATCCACGTCGCTGAGCTGGCAAACTTCCCTGAGAACGTTGTAAAGGTCAGTCAGCAGCTGGCTGCGGTCTATTGGTGCTCACTCGATATACCTTCAGCTGGCCAAGCGCAAAGCAGACGAGCTCGAGGACTTTAACACTGGTATGTGTATGTGATTTAGCGCAATCAGACTCTCATCTAACTTGTGGCCGGCAGCGGAGGAACGCCAAGGAGACCTAGAGTTACCAGCGAATGTGATCGAAGAAGGGACAAAGATCATCGAGGACCTGTTGCGAACTTGGGCATCGCATGTGTCAGAACACGATGGCGAAGATGTTGTTATGAGTGATGCGGAAGACGCTTCTCACGTCGCTCAGCTAGAAGAACTGAAAAAATGCGTAGAACAGTTCCGGCCTCAGATTGAGAGCAACCCTTGGGTTCAAAATGTTCTTGCGTCCCTGTGAGGTGGCTATGGTTATCCACATTATGCTACATCATTGTATAATTACTGCTATCGTAATGCTTTGTTGTTTCTTTCTAGCTTTCGATGCTGTAGTCTACTCCTGCATGTCAATACTCGGAATGAGAACATTTATGGACGTGATATCACACGAATAAGCCTCCGTTGCTGGATCTTTGATTGTGGTTCCCCCCTTGGCTTCGTTAGCGTGTCCGTTGTGTTCAAGGAAGAAAAGTAGCACGTCTATTTATGGGGTTGGAAGGACACGTACAAACAATGCCCGAGTGCAAATGTCACGATCCATATCTCTTACTCAAACCATCATATATTAGAAAGATGAGCGCACTGCTCGGAACAGCTCGCGCCGCTGTGATTCCACACCCAGCATACAATCCCCTTACGCCCTGCGCCTTGTACATCGCCTTGAAGGTGCCCAAGAAAGTTGAGCCTGGTTCACCTGCAACCCTCGGTCGAAGCTCCGCCTCCGTCTGCATCGCACTCTTGACACTGTCCGCGGGGAATAAGGCGACGTTGTACGCGACACCTGCACTCGCGCCCGCTACAGCAGATTCCCAGGCATGCAGCTCCTTCTTGTCCTTCGCTGCGACATGTCGCCGCGCGAGGAGCAGCGTTGCTACTGCCTCCTTGGATGCGAACCAAGCTGCGGCTCCGCCGGTTTCGCGGATAAACGTTGCGGTTTGTCCGAGCCAGAGACCACGGAGGCCGTCTGTGCGGATGATAGAAGTGAGGACCGACAGCGGGCCAGGGGGCCTGATGAGAGTACTAGGAGGCTGCAATGATGAAGAATGATTCGGAATAGAAGCGGCCGCTCCTGCCAGAACAGCTGACGCCTCGGGGAATGGTACCCTGGGAGCCATCAGCATCTGTACCTGCATCTTACACTTGACAAGTTCGATGGGGGTCCTAGAAGCCAGCCACATCAGTGATCTGCTTTGCTTGGGCCCAGAGAATCATCAACGCACAGTACAAAGCTTGTCAGGGATCCTGCCCCTGCCCCCGCTATTGCAAGCTGCCCCAACGAGAGCTGCTCCGTCATCGACAGACTATTTGCCCATCGGATTGTGTTTTGAAACTCTGTATACGTCCAGAACAAGCACGCATTTTCCGCCATTGCTCCTACGATGGGAGCCGGCAATCCCTGCTCGACATGAAGCTCTTGTTTATGGCTGTGCTAGAGGATTGAGAGAACTTACTCTATATAGTCCGCGAATTCCCTCCTTCCTCCATGTCTGCACTAGACAGTCTATGGGACCGTTAAATCGGGCCGTTTTATCCAATACTTGCGATTGAAGACGAACTTTGGTGAGGTCGAATGGATGCTCGAAAAATTTGGATGCGATGCCCGCAGCACTGCCAAAGCTGATGTCTTTCAGTGCACGAATGCTCATCGGGTCGGCGACCTCTGCGTCCACAGGCGAAGACTCCATAGTAGCCAAGAAACAATTTGTGAAAGTCGCGGATTTGAATGTACTAGCGCATGGCAAATAACTAGAGAGAATTGATATCAAACCGCCGGAAGAGGAGCGCTGGTTGCACGTACGGATGAAGATGCACGTATCACAGGGCGGTTCGGCGGAAATATCAGTGCTAGGTTGATATCAAAGAACAGTTTCTAAGCGTTCAGGTGTACATGATTGATTATGGTCGAATCCTGATCAAAGTTGGAACCCGTGGTCTGGCCACTCAAAAGCGTCAATTACTTTTTTGTATGTGCACTCTTGCTCAGCCACAGTCTGAGCAGGATTCCATTACTACATAGAAATCTCATATCAACTGCCATTACGCGCGAGCCTTGCTTCGTTGACATTTCTTATCGCTCCGCATCCGCCGGGGGCTTTCAGCTCGCCTTCAGGCCACTCAGACAGAAATGTCATACCTGTACATGGCCTTCCTGGTCCTAGGTCGCCACCATATTTGTCGGTGTAATCCTCCGACTTGTAGGCGGAGAGCGGGCTGTTCTCAGTCTACTCCCACAACGGCCATAATCTGAGTGATGGTGCACCAGTGACATTTATATCTTTGACATCTTGAGCAGTGAACAGCCTCCGGTAGATGTATATTCCGCCGGAGCCTGAGGGAATCGTAGTGTATACCCAGTGTACGTCCCCATCTCAAGTTTTTGCCCTGGATAGACACCTTTGACAGATATCTGATTTACTCAATGACCATAAGATGGTGTGCGTTCGTTTCATACCATGTCCTCCGGTGAATAGGATCGGATGCTACCGAAAGCCACGTAGCTGTTCGCAAGCTCGCTTGTTCGTAGTCGAAAGGCCGTTGCACCTTTTGACCACACCCTCTTCTTCGCTCCGACTTGTGTGTCCTCCCCACCAGACTTTCAACCTGACCGCTCTCAAGGATACTATTGCATAAGATTAGATGTCTCAAGCGTGTCCTATCGAATCCTCTTGACTGTATAATTTAGATTATACACTATGTCCGACCCGTATGTGCCTGTGGTTCCACCAACTGGTGAAACATTGAATGGAACCTATGGAGCCATGCTGATTGGTGTCTTGGTTGCTGCTATGTGAGTAGATCTCTGCATATTTACAGCACAGGGGTCAAAGTAACGTCAACTCTTGCTCTCAGTCTCTTCGGTGCAACCAACGTGCAAGTGTACATGTATGCAATACACAATCCCCATGATTCAATCTGGAATAAGCTCGTCGTCGGTGCTTTATGGTATGCTTCATTTCGAAGCCATTTGAACGCCTCCGTTGATCCAGCTTAAAATCCAGGATACTGGATGCAGTCCATACGGCGCTCTGCTTTCATCTGGTGTACTGGTACCTTATCACAAATTACTACCGACCCCCCGAACTTCTTGATATAGTTTGGAGTTTCAAGGTGGGTGAGATGTCAGACGTCGCTGTATGCATTTTACGCATTTCTTCAGGCCCAAATCATCGTTGTCGTGCGTGAATTCTCCGGCTCGATTCATTGTATAATTATCTTTCACAGGCCATCTTGATCATATTTGTCCACACGTTAGTTGACATGGCTCCATTTGCTTCCTGATCACGATGAATAACCTTTTTTCCATGCCAGATTATATGTGCTACGAATATGGAAATGTATGTGTCTTCGTCAGACTTTAGAACGAGGCTCACCTGAGTAGTGGATATTATGGTGCACAGTGCAACGCCTTGGACTCGGAGGCTTATCCCTATCTTTGTTGTACGTCCCAGTCCTTCCTTTCAAGAAGCTAACAAAATAATACTTGTACTATTATGTGAAGAGCGTGTGTTTGCTCACTGGTTACGGTAAGTTGTGTTTTTCGTCCATCACATAAGAAGCCGGCGTCATCTTCCTCTCAAATTCCGATAGTGGCTGGTATAGGTGAGTATGTTACCTGAATTGTGATTCAGAGCTAGTTGCCCACGATTATCGGTTCCTCAGTATTGTGCTATGAAATGTGAGTCTCTGACCCATATCCAAGTCGGAGTCGCATTCTCTGTAGGCTCAACTCGCTCTTCCCACAGTGTTAAATTCACCAAATTCGCCCAAATGTTTCAGCCGGACCGAGAGGTATGCTACATTCGCATGCGCTATCATTCTCCTCGCTGAAGTACCCGTTCAGTGGGTGGTCTTTTACTCATTAGGAACGGCTGCTTCCCTTGATGCTATCATTGCTGTGTGCGTCTTCCGGCTGCTGACGGTCTGTCGTACGGGCTTCCTAAGGTCTGTGCATTTTAGTAGCCTCGCTTTTGCAGCAATCGACGTACTCATCGGCTGTATGCAATAGCATTGACTTCTCCCTGACATGGCTGATGCAATATGCATTGCACACTGGTGTCATTACCCTGCAAGTATTGAAAAGCGCCATGCTCTTATTCCATAGATGCTAAAGTTTCCTCAACTGCGCAGGCTATGTTCTCTTACGTGCATCATGATGGTACACGCTAATTTTTCCTATCTTATTCGCCTGTTGAGCATTCACTCTAGATGGCGGCGCTTCCTTACACGTTCGCGATCATAAGTGTCAATTTCTGCCTTCCCAAATGTGTGTATTTTTCCATTTTTCTCATCTATATCTCTTGACTATATCGAAGAGCAGTATACGTGAACTCTTTCATGGCTATGTATGTCTCATATCAAGCGATCCTTACTGTCCAACTTTAAATGACCCTCGATGCTATGCTATCGTCCACAAGGTTCAACGCTCGTAGATCATTGCGAGCGACCGGACCTCGTACCACACAGAGTTACGCTTTGCGTTCTTCTGAGCCATGGGCCTCGACAACAAGTCATGGCGAACAAAAATCTGCATTCTCGCGTAGTAACCACAGCCACGGCAACATCAGTTCATTGGGCCATGGCCCACGCTCTCCAATGAGAGGATATTTCAACGGAAACTCCGCTCAGGTCAGTCCCAGACCGTCCTGCGTTGATGATTAGATTGTGGACGATGATGATGCAATTCAAGACTAGCGGAAGCGATTTCCGCCTTGGTCGTGGCCCTCCATCTCCGCGTATGCCTCCCGAGGTTCATGTCCGTAGAGTCATCACAACTACGGCGGCGGGGAATTCCATTACTTATGAGGGTGTAACTGCTAGTAGTACAGAATTGGCGGAGGACTCGAAAATGGAAAGTGTATAGTAGCCCCCAATTTCGAACATCAGATGCATACATATGTACGAGCCTCTAAAACTTTCAACGGAAACATGGATCTGTGTGCATGCTAACATGATATTCCCTAAGTCTCTAGTTCAGAATCCGACAGAAATTAAATAACACTTGAGTCTTCATAAGACTTTTTTTGCGCAAACTCACCCGTCGGATGTGCCGAGGACGGCGCGGAATGAATTCGATCGAATACCGAGTTTGAATTCCGGTCGCGCGCGTCGATCAGACTCACTGCGCATCCACCTTACATAACGAATCTCGGCCCTACAGTTTATCTGGCCTGGCCGCTTGGTTTACGGACACAGCGCTCGGGCATTTTCAACATGTTGTTCATGCCGCGTCTCAAGGTACCTCCGTGCGTAACGAGGAGCTCACAGTGCCATAAATCATCTTCCAGATGCATTGATCCTTCGCGAAATTTTGGTACAGCCAATGTTGTCCCGAAGATGAAGGGCGCACATAGATGACGAGAAACAGTTTAGATGAAGATGCCGCTGGAGTTGAATTTTAGAGGGAGACATTCTTCGGAATGTGGATACCACGAAGCAAAAAACATCCGAGCATCTTCGTCTGTCTGTAAGTCGTGCAGCGCGAGCCTCTCTGTTTCACCGTTATAGCAACCGCTTCACAATTTGGCCACGGGCATGAAAACTTGTAGCACGCTCGCAATAAGAACCATACAGATCGAGGTGAGCTGGGACATGACCCGCAATCTCAGCACCGACTCGAGGCAGACCATGGAATAAGAACACGAGATGGCTGTCACAAGTCTGGCAGCGGGCAGAACCAGGATTCTAATTCTCGAGGTTCAAAGAACTCGAGAAGCCGACACTGAGCTATTGTCGCAGTCCTGAGCAATATCAAAACCCATGACGGTTGGTATCTTGCCCTGTCTACCCATCGTGAGACGCGACGGTTGTTTTGTGGCAAACAAGTATGTCTTCTAAATTTTTGCTGTTGTTCAGCTGTGCCTTAAAGTTCAGTATATCTTTGCCACAGCCTAATGTCTATCACTGCGACGGGTGTCATGGCAGCGTAACGATGGTGTTGGCTTCAGACTGCTTGAGGAAACAAACTTGTGTTATTCTCGCTTCAAGATTCTATTCCCTTTATCATCATTTGTGCCTGGAACTAGGGATGCGTTGGGCACTCGGGCCTATGAACGGTAATGTCATTCACAAAAATATGAATATCACCATCAGCGCACCTCGAGCGAGTCTGATCATCTGCACCTAGTGTTCGTACGTGTGAATATCCTACTTCAGGCAGGCTCCACTTCAAATAGATTTATGTCCTCAACTTAAGGGGCTAGCGTTACGGGAACCTAACTCTCCTGCCTTCAAAGTCTCTTTCTTCCTGAGGTGAGAGTGCCTGCTGACTACTGTCGTAAACATGAATTCATTTGGCGAGACTCATCAGCAGAACTGCTGGTGCATTCATGCTGATGTTCCTCGAGCTAGATCGATTGTTCGGCTATGCTGACTGCCGGCGGCAGCCGGTTTGACATACATATTTGCTTCTTTTTCTGAACATTGACATTGTGTGAGTGTGCGCCGCTTCCGCTGCTCGTCCGTTTAAGGAAAAGTTGCATGTCCTTTGAGATCCATACACTCTCACTGCTTTCATATGTTTGGTTGTATGCATCACATCTGTGGGATATGGATGGCAAGGGCTGTATAAAAGTTGTCTAGTGTAGGCTTTCCAGCCCTGAGCTGTTGCAGCAGGAACTGCCCAATGTCGTCGATTCAATCTGAACTTACGAGCACCCTGGGGTGTATTTTCATCGGGACGTTATTCTCATTCGCGTCAGTTGTTCCCATCTAGTAACGCGTAGTAGCTGAACAAACTTGCTATAGGTTGTATGGCGGGACATGTGCCCAGGCCTTGTACTATGCGTGGAACTACCGAAAAGACAACTGGACACTCAAGACTCTGGTATGTTGTGATGTTCACTGGCATTCATACCAACCCCATGACTTTGCTGCATAGGTAGCACTTGTGTGGTCCGTTCTTGCTCCTTTGCTGAGGTTGTACTATTCTTCGTTTAATTTCATTGAAGGATTGTCGACACCGCAAAGGTCATTACAGAAGCACAGGTAGAACTTCCCATCGGATATAGTATTTTGGTTTGACTGTATATTGCTCCCCTGAGGAACTTTGGTATTACTTTGTGCAACGTCATTCCAATCTTTTGTCCTTGTTCAGTCTTGATCAGTGAGTCATATGCTGACTCAGTTCAGTGTGGGAAATACTCACACTCACTTTGGTACTTTTGTGTAGTGCATACGGGGTGTGCCTTCCTGCCTTTCAAAAATATGCTTTCGTTGACGTTATCACCTGTCTTACTATTATATAGGCTCAGTTGCTCCTTGAAGTGAGTAGGGTCGTGTTTATCGATCACGACATATATTGACTCTGAGTTTTAGTCAATCACGAGGATACTTGTCCAATCGTGCGTCATCACTAATTTATGACGTTGAACGCGCATATAATCAGTTTTCTTGAAGTTTCTTCATGTACAAGATTTCGGCGTGTAAGTTTAGTTCATTGAGAAACGTTGCATACTCATTGCAATTCAAAGTGATACAGAGAGGGCCTTACAGATATTTCTTTTATTTCATTGCGGTGGGTTTATCGGCTCACTTATGTGAGCAGGTCTGAATTTTACGACAGCTACCATTGCTTCTAGCCGATATCGGTGATTGTTCCACATCATATGTGAGACCGCTGATTTTAACACAGAATATCGATGCTGCTAGCATCAAGCTTGTGTACGCTACTGTGTCTTTTCTCCTGTTGAATCTAAATTTATGCAATTCACCATTAGGGACAACATATTGTGGGCATGTCGATTCATTGATGATACTTTGATGTGTCACTGGTATTCATTGATTTTTTGTACCAGGCTCACAATCACACAAATCTCTGGTGCTTTTACGAGCGAAAAGGTAGGATTTTCCAGTAGAACAATTGCTACGTTCTCTGACACGCTGCGTGTAGGCCCCAGGAGCATTGGAAATTGCCACCTCACTGCTTGTGGATGTTTTCATTACAACTGTGCTATGCTACGTTCTGCAGGGTAGCAAGTCCGGTTTCCGGCGGTACGAATCCGATCAGAATCAGTGCTTGGTCAAAGGTGTTTTTCTTACGTACTACCTACTGCAGCACAGAAACAATCTTGTCGAAGCTGGTTGTCTACACGGTCAATCGTGGAGTCTTACAATGGCGAGTTGGAGTAACATTCCTAGAGATACTTGACTGATTAGAGAACTCACAGCTTCGTCACACTCCTCGGTTTCACGATCGTGAGTCTGGTTCTGAATCGTCGCATTCTTCGTCTGATAGAATGTCGATTTTATCAGTACCTGGCTGTTGATATCCACAAGGGTACGATGTACTCGGAGATATTTACCGCTGCTGTTGGGACGGGTAAGTCGCGATTAGCTTGTGCGGAAGCTAGATGATAATAGCGAACACTAGTCTATGCAAATTCATTCTTAGCAATGTGAGTCCATCCTAATCGTGTTTCAAGGATATCTCTCTGAATCGAGCAGGTTGAACTTGCGCAATCGTCTGGGACAGACAGAGGTTGACGCTCCAACCTCCGAATTCGCCATGGAGATCTGGGGTGATTGATTCCCAGTGGCCAGTAGTGGTTCGAGTGTACGTGTACAATACCATCCGACTGATATAGGGGCGTCAAATACTCGATGCTCGCATACGTTCAACGTTTCTCTGACGCAAGTCATCGCTTACCCTAACGGCTCACACCGAACTCGGACTCAAAGGGAACGCACATTTCTCATAAGACTACAAACGCTCACAGACGTGGATTGTAAATAGAGGTGTACGGAAAAGTTGCATTAAAAAATGTATTGTCCGTTGGAAAGTCAATGGTGTGGAAAGTATTTCACGGGTTCCCTGCGTCTGCCTTCCACCAAGAGAGATGAGGTACTGAACTTCAATCGCAACGTACACTAACGAACCGCCAACCTACTTTCACGGGCTTTGCAATCTCGTCATTGCTTCCCAGGTTGGAACGACTTTCACAATGCTATACACACATATTCCTAGGTACGCACTAGGACGCTGTGTCAGCCTGAGAGCGACGGCACCCAGAAGCCCACCAACAATCAATCGGGCAGCAATGAACGCAAAAATGTTCAAAACCCGAAGAAAGCTGTCACATCCAGTTCTTGAGATTGCAGAAAATCACCCAGGAGCTTGCCATAGATCAAGATTCGTGCGTGTGATTGTGTGCGCGAGCGTGCCGGCGTACGCAGCATACATCTGATCACTGAACGCCCAGTCGCCGAGCAGCCTACAGGACACCGGTCATCAGCAAAGCAGCTTGTCCAATCGGTCCCGCCACGCGGTCAAATTTGATGTCCAGATTCGTGCGACGCCCGGCAAACTAGGTGAAAATCAAAATGTCAAGAGAGTAGTGCTAGTGGGGATACCGCAGCACGAAGACGCCATTCGGAGCCGCGCCGGAGTGGGAAGGGTCTGGATGACCGGTCGGTGGAAACACGCCCGTGCGACAATTTTTTGCTAATTGATCAGAGTGGCTTGTTCCGCTCGAAGAGCCGGAGCATTGACGACATACTGAACGTATGCTTCGCGCAATTCTCTTCTTGCAGTCAACGCGGCCGGTATGCACCCTCCAACGAAAAGCGATACATAAGAAGCCAGCAAGAAACCAATAGCCAACCGTTCAGAGAAGCTATTGTCACGATAGCAGGGTAGAGGTCAGAGTAGAGACTTGTAGATGAGGTCGCAGACCCGGGGTAGCGGCCTGTTGGGGAGGGTAGAGGGGATCACTTTCAGGGCGATGATTTCGTTCTGCGTGTAGCAGCGTGACAATGGCATTATGTGATCCGGATGGTGCCCGTTCCGAGGCTACTGCGGCACAAGGTACAGATGCAGTTGTGGAATTCCACGCAAGCGTGCGACATTTCTATCACTTGAATAGAGCCATATGTCAATTTCGGCAATACCATGATTTTGGTGGCGTTACCGGGGAAACATTCGCCTTGTCTTCCATGCCTCGTGGCAGCTGTCGAGGATGTATACTGATGTCGACTCGAGATCTGACTTAAACTTTCAGGAAGATCTCGATGATCGACGTTCGCAGCTGACATTTTGACAATACCCCGAGGTCTTGGGAAGAGAGTGCAAAGGTGGATGGTAGAGCGCATGGTCAGCAGGAACGAGAATGATGGTATGTTGTGTGCGCTGGCAAGACGAGAGAGGCTCTCTCGCGAACGGCGCCGAATGCGTTGGGTGCGGACCACGCGTGTCGCGGGTCGGAAGCGCATATATCTATGTGAAAAAAAAAAGAAACACCCAAACGTCGCGGGAGGAAGTGCATGAAAAGTGCTGTATGATCCAATAAGTTCCGAAACGTAGAAAAGAACGCTTCGTATGCGCTTACGTGGAGGCTGGACGCGCGTACCGGGGAAGAGTACATGTAACTGTCGGGTCAGCATGTCGAGGGCGACGTAAACGTCGAACCAAACTCCGTGAGCGTTTGAGCTTTCAGTAAACGGGTAAGAAGGGCCAATGATATACGAGGGAGCGAAAGGGGGCAGGGCTCCGTGCCGTCACTTGCAGGGGTGGCGTTGTCGGCGGGATGAGCGCTCGTTGGTCCATAATCGCCCACGTAAAACGATGCGCGTCATCAAAAAACAGATATATCATCTTGAAGCCCACCTGAACGAAACATGCTGAGCAATAAATTTACGAAAGTGATTGACGACGAAGAGAACAAGACGCAAGGCAAGAGATGAGTAAGGGAGCGGCGCCAGACGAACCCCGAAGATTTGATTGCGATACACGAGTGCAGCTGCACCTAGCTACCGGCCGAGGCGAAGCATGAGCCTAAAGAACGAATCATCGGACGGCGGATGCTGGGCTCTGGGGATTTGGCCCATCGATATGGCAAGGATGCGACTGAGAGATTCAGGCCAAATGCGATTAGGAGGGGTTATCCGGGAGCTTGAGTTGAGTACCTCCGCCGAGGGTGTGAGAGCAAGGATCCTGATGCAGGAAGAATTCTGCGCTAAGGCGGCTTATGGGCGCGAGGACGTGATAGAGTGGGTCGAAGCGGGTGAGGGCGAGAGTGTTCTGCCGGATTGGGAAGGGCAGCGCATCATGGCTCCCTAATTGGGCCTCATCCTCCAGGGCGGGCGTCATCGCGGACGTCGAGGCTCAGCCAACGATGCTGACGGCCTGCTGACCAACACACTCGAGGTAGGGGGCTCAGATCGTGAGCTGGCCACGGCCCAGCCAGAACGAGCGCAATTGTCCCACATCCGCTGACCGTCCTCTAGGCTCCTGTCCTCCGAGTCCGCACTATGGAAACTTGCTCCCCGCTCAGGCGCCCCTCTTCACTTAAAAGCCCCCCTCCACCCCCCTCATCTCCTCACCACCCACCCCGTTGAATGTGTTTCCCCGGAAAGCGTACTAGACGAGCCCTTTCCGACGCCGACTCCACCCAGCCCCCCCCACGCGACACAAAGCTTCAGCAACCCACCACAACCTCGGCCGCCGCACCCACAGCAGCCATGTCTTCCCCCAAGATCGCCATCATCATCTACTCCATGTACGGCCACATCGCCACAAGTGAGTCCCTGCTCTCACACCGCTTCGTTCTCATACTGACCGCCGACTCCCTTGCAGTGGCCGAGGCGGTAAAGAGCGGTGTCGAATCTGCCGGCGGGAAGGCGACGATCTATCAGTACGTCCCTGGCGAGAAATACGCCTCTAATGTAGGCTGACATATATGCCCACTCAGAATCGCCGAGACCCTCCCCGCTGAGGTGCTCGAGAAGATGCATGCGCCCCCGAAGCGCGACTACCCCGTTATCGCGCCGACAGACCTCCCCCAGTTCGATGGCTTCATCTTTGGCGTGCCCACCCGGTATGGCAACATGCCCGCTCAGGTCAAGGTGTGTACCTCGTGCTCCCGCCCCTATCGCGTCCGTGACGCATGCTCACATTTACCCGCACTGCCAGGCGTTCTGGGACGCGACCGGCGGTCTTTGGGCCCAGGGATCGCTTGCGAACAAATATGTATCGGTCTTTGTGTCGACCGGCACCCCCGGAGGTGGACAGGAAATGACCGTCGTGAACATGATGTCCACTTTTGTCCATCACGGCCTCATTTTCGTTCCCCTCGGCTACAGCAAGACCTTCGGCCAGCTGGCAAACCTCACCGAGGTCCGCGGCGGTGAGTCCGCTTCTGTTCCCGTTCACCTATTCCACATCGTTTTTGCGCCTTCACCGCGCATATACCCACTTATTTCGCGTATGCTCACGCATATATCCACCCTACAGGCTCCCCATGGGGCGCAGGCACCTTTGCCGGTGCAGACGGCTCGCGCACTCCGACCGAGCTTGAGATCACCCTCGCGAAGACCCAGGGCGAGCACTTCTACAGCATCATCTCCAAGGTCCAGTTCTAGACGCGCTCTCGCCCTAGAAGCGGCTACCGTTCCGAATAGAAGAGATGGACGCGGAAGCTCTTTGGCGCGTACGTTGGATCGTTATGCACTATGAACCATCTCAATTTGTATCGATATATATTTTTATGTGAGGATTATTTCAACGACTATCTCGTCCGTGATGTTGCTGTTCGTAATATGAGGCACGAATCAATCGGGGGAACACTGTGATCATATTCGGCCCGTAGTTGAGTGTACTTTTGAGCGCGAGCCAGAGGTGCGCTTGCGGTGACAGCGGTGCGATGATTCGAGCCGCTCAAGGATATCTAATGTGACTGCTGTGTGAGCCGCTTCTACCTACTCTTATGTGTAACAGATGATGTCTCTCCCACCACCTGGTACCTCAGGACTTCCGATGGTTGTGCGTATACAAGTCCTTCTTGGGCCATTATGTTACTCAGCTTCTCGCTGCAGCATACTTCGGGGATCCCCGCTGACGTGCTCAATGCCATCACACGACGCGTCTATGACGAGATGCCAATACACTTGATATACATACCTGAATTTCGGCTTATGGACAGGATGGCCGTGCGAGAGCACGTCGAAGCCATGCTGACCAAGAACGCGGGGCTTGTCGAACAACTTCCTCGCCAACAGCGCAACAATCATGGCCACGACCCACGAGGACTGGCCCTCGGCAGGCTGGTGGAGGCGCGAACGCGGTATGCCATCCTCTCTCACCGGTGGCTGAACAGGGAGCCGACGTACTCGGAGATGCTGCAGGCCCCTGATTCCGCTCAGCGCCCCGGGAGTCCTGGGTACGAAAAGCTGCAGAGATTCTGCAGTGTGGCGGCGCACCTCGGCATCGACTTTGCGTGGACCGATACGTGCTGCATCGACAAGGGCAGCAGCTCCGAACTCGACGAGTCCATCCGCTCTATGTATCGGTGGTACCACAACGCGGCGATATGCATCGTGTACTTTGCTGATACTACATCGCTCGAGGACCTGCCCCACGATGAGTGGTTCACTCGGGGATGGACACTGCAGGAGTTGCTGGCCCCGAGGAGGGTCAAGTGTTTTGGAAGGGGGTGGGTCCCGCTGACGAGTGCGCAGGCTGACATCGATAAGGACACCGCGGCAGCCGGCGGCGTGCGGAAGTTTGTCTCTACACCGCTGCTGCAGCACTTGGCCTCGGGTGCGGGGATTCGAGTCGAGGACATGATGTCCTACTCCCCAGGCCCCACCGACGTCCCAAAGCGCATGGCCTGGGCGGCGAGACGAACGACAACCAGAGGCGAGGATCGAGCATACTGCTTGATGGGGATGTTTGGTGTTAGCATCCCCACCGCGTACGGCGAGGGACCCGACCTGGCGTTCTTCAGGCTTGTAGAGGCGATCATCCAGGTCTCCAACGACCCCGCCATCTTGGACTGGATAGGCTCGCCTGCGGCCACGAGCCACCCAACACGAATGGTGCCTTCATCGCCGGGCTGCTACCTGGGGCGCATCACCCGGGACGAAGAGGAGACTGTACTGTTCGGCGAGGAACCGCTCGTTCTGACCAACAAGGGGCTGCGCATGGAGATGTTCATCGTGCGTGTGCCAGACATCCGGTTTGCCCGTGATATCGACAAGTCTGGGACGAGGGCCATCTTTCCGTGCAGGTCAGAATGGTTCGTGGAAAGAGAGGTTCATGTGGACACAGGCGGAACGCACAAATTCATTTTGGAAGAGGCTTACGCTATTGGCATCTGGGGTTGTCGAGGTACGCGGGCGGCCCGATATTTTGCCTGCATCCTTGCGTCCCCGCTCGACCCGAAGTCCAGTCTGAAATACTGGGCCAAAGTCGAGGAACATACCAATTACATCTTGCTAACCCCGTCCGAAAAGTTCAGGAGCTACTTGAATGCCAAGCACCGGCAGGGAGATCTACAGTTGGAGACGGTATATCTGTAGAGGATAACATGTTTTTCCATGAATATGCTATCGCAATTGTGATTACTGTTCAAGAAGAACGAGTTTATTGACCGGGAAAAACATGTACAACGGCACCTGCTTTCAATGGAGTCTATCAGCATCTGAATAAATACCCTGAGATGCATGGGCTCAGAATCTTTCTCGATGCCGTGTTGAATGGAACTACACCAGACTATCAAAGGAGAACAGATTTTCGGATGATCAAAACGTTTCATTCACCACCGAAAAAGCTTGAGTTGCGCCCACATGCTGGCCTTATGGCAGTGTCAAGTGAGAGATGGAATCAGGCGCTTGAGAACCAGAACAAACATTGAACTCGCGTCCGACCCTGGCCGAACGCTGCGTTTCTGGAATATGGACATACGGTGGAACTTCATATTTACCACCAGCCGTGCTGCCCTATCAATGACACTTGAAAAACGTGTTCGGGTGGTAGGCAATCACGAATTGCGGCCTGCATGATGGCTAAAACTCATGTAGTGGTTCGTTCTTTGTCCTTAACACATGTAGACATCAAGTTTGCGTACCCCTCGCATTGTGACAATCATGGACAAGCAATAAAATCCAGGTACTACACCTTTTAAGCCTCTCAAGCCAGTTCTGCAATTCGATAAAGCCACTGCGGGCTTCCAGCTGGGATGACAGGCGCATGTACGCCCCGACCTTTTCCTATGTACATATGTGCCGCAATAGCCGCGAGGACGGTGTGAGAACTTCCGCACCCAACGAGCAATTCGAGCTGCATGCCTGCACATAGTATGTGCACGGAAACGCGACGTTACAGATACAACACATAGATGTCACAACAATGATACACGACACGGCCTAAAGATATAACCCTCATCGCTGCTCCCTCGGTTCTGCGAGCGCAGATGTCAGTGTATACATACGGATCAGCGACAGAGTAACGCTTACGTGACCACTGGATGTTCAAAATCAAGTTATCATATCCACGCCCGTGCAGTTTATCCATCGCCCGCTGCGCGACCCCGCGATCCTCGAAGCTGACGAATGCAAAGCCCTTGCCGGCACCTGTCTCGCGATCGCGGCCCACATAGACACGCGCGACCCGACCGAACGCGCCAAACAGATCGCGCAAATCGTTCTCCTGGGTGTCCTCCGAGATGTTCGTGACCCGCAGTGTGGGTAGATCGTCCCGAGAGCCACCGGGCCGCGACATCGCTTCGCCCGGACCACGCCCGCCGCTTCGCATGGACGGGGGGACATACTTCCCAGTGCCCGAAGGTGCCGCAGCCGCAGGTTCCGCGGGCGTTCCTGTGTCGTCTCCACCAGGGGTATCTAGGAAAACATCCGTCAGCAACCGCTGGTGCGATCAGTAGGATGAACACCATACCAGCACCGTCGAGGCCAGGCAGAGAATCCTTGTAGGGACATTTTGCGGTGAAATGGTCGCCCTTGCACAGACGGCAGACAACTTTGCCGGCACCAGCTCTCACGAGGTTGTTCTTCATCGTTTGCTCGGCAGATGGCTCGGGCTCGGATGACTGGGGGTAGGATGAATACGTCGTACGTTTACTCACCGATGAAATGCTGCCATGCACACCTTGTTTCCCGCACTGAGCTTCAAAGCGACGTTCTCCCCAACTGTCGTGGTCGCCCTGTCTGGACCAGGCTTGTTGCCCTTCTCCTGGCCGAACTTGGCCCACATCTTTCGCTCAGCGACCGTGTGGTCGACGACCGCTTTCTGCAGGGTCCGCTTTATTTTCTTCGTGATCTGTATGCACACACGAATAAGCGAAATGATACGATGCAGCGGCTGCATGGAAGACTTACCTTGACCTTCTTCCCCTCATCGTTTACTGTGTACTCAACAGTAGTCCTGATGCCATTCTCGTCGATGGTGTCTTCGATCTTAGGGGGCTGTTCTGCAAGAGTTTCAAGGATAAGATGTGGTAGGACGCATGAAAATGGTTCCCAAAACTTACCGAGTTCGTCGACATCGTCCGCCCACGAAGTTTTTGGTGCCCTAGAATGGGTGGTCAGCAAGAACTTCGACGAGATCGTCCTCTTCAAATGCTCACGCTGCGCTCGCCATGGTAAATGCTCGCAATGCAGGGACTTCGGAAAAATCGAGCTAAGAGACTTCTGAAAAGTGGTGGACTATTAAAGTCCGTCGAAGGATCTAATCGCGCGATGTTGTGTGACACCTAGTGACTGCACGTCACGGTGCCGCTGTCTTTGACCTGTCTATGTGCTGCGATTTCTACTCGAGCACTATCTGTCTGTCTGCTTCCACATTATGGTATCTGTACTTCCCAACTTACTCAGCCGACTGCGCAGGCGATCAAACTCATAGATGATGTTCACATTTCTAATTCTCCATCCAATGAGCGTGGCAGTATTTCTCATGTCCTATGGAGATATCTCGCCTTCACATCGCCCAGGACTCAGGATGGATCGTTGACAGCATACGTCAGCGCCGCACTGCCTGTCATTACTTTTGACGACATTATAAACAATTTCCTCGACAATCCCGTAGACCCCGCTTATAAGTATCCTCAAAGTATCCTCACCACAGTCTTTCCCTTTACCCCTAGGCATTATCACTTGCTTTGGAATTCGGCGATCTGTGAGTGGTGCATAAGTTGGCTTTGATTTTCTCTTCAATCTAATTAGTGTGCAGAATGGATTGGGAAGATGTATACCTATTCCCCTTTGCCCTAGCGTTGACCGTCCTGGAATATATGGCCATCTGTTTTGGATTGCCTTCTCCGGGCCCTCAACGTGACCATTTTGCACCTCACCCATCAGCCAAATTCGAGGGTTACTACACGCGTGTTCAGTTGGAAGACGGAGGTACCTTGGCTCTCATCTTTTGCTGGGTTAAAAACGCGAAGATACGCGAGAATCTAGTCTGCGTGATTCACGCGCCGGCAGATGGAAGCAAAGTACCTTCTTTCTACCATGAAATATACCCTGAACAGTTATCCATCACGGCCAAAGATCCCACCTCTAAGACGCCCTCATTCCGAATCAATGTGCCAGGGCTAGGCAATATGACGGTTACATCGAGTCGAACAGAATACACCCTCGCCATCCCCGATGTACGACTATCTCTGACCCTCTGCCTGACAAATCACACATCTTGGTTGAGGACTCGTCCCCTCTCAGGGCCCATGGGCCCGCTGGCGCGTCTATCCCGTTATCTTCCTCTGAACTGGCATGTTTATTCATTGGCGAGCGATGCGGATTATACCATTGTACTCGCGGGCCGTACGTACACAGGTCATGGAGTTGCACATCTAGAGAAGAACTGGGGAAGATCTTTTCCGAGTGGTTGGCTCTGGAGTCAGACTTTCAAGGTGGACAATGAAACTATATGCCTTGCAGGCGGTTCGGCCCTCCCTGGTGTGCAAGCGTATTTGGTCGGGTACCGTTCGACTGGACTCTGCTGGGACTTCAGGCCACCATTCACGATGGGCATCGGACTATTTTCGCCATTTCTACGTGTACAGTGCGATAGCGGAGCTGGTGTGGTTGAATTAGAAGCTAGGACATGGCTCAGAAAGCTGAAGGTTAACATACACGCTCCCGTTGACTCGTTTATCGGATTACCTGCGCCACTGAAGGACGGGCATCAGCCTCAATTCGCTTTCGAAAGTTTTCGCGCCACGGTAATAACCGAAGCATACATTCGCTGTTGGCCATGGGGAGGGTGGGAACGAGCAGAGGAAGACCATCCGAAGACTGTCGAGAACGAAGTATCCAGTGCTTCTCTTGAGTTCGGTGGTATCTTCTCTCACCTCGTAAACCACTACGACAGTAAGTAGTTCACGACGGTCAGTATCATAGGGTAAGTGCGTCCACTGGTACACAATAAGAGGTCACTGATAGACGTGCTGGGTTTCTAGCTGTCCCGGCTGGCTGCTCTATTCATCGAAGGCCGAGCGCCCGGCTACGTGTTCTAGACTCCACAGGCTGGGAGCCGTGGCTGGTAGTGTGCGGGTACTGCATCCTTGCGAGCGCGATATAAACATAGGTAGTGTCGTGGACGTCTTGAGCTTTTCGCGTTCTGTATAAGATGTTCGTCGCAATGGTATACATCTATGTTGCAAGCCCACGTGATGAAGCTCTGGGAGGCTCCATCACCCAAGACGACAGGGCAGCAGGGTCATATGCCCCTTGAGTCCGTCAGATGCTCAGCCTGCTCCAGACTTCTAATGCTTACCACCCGTATTTGCCCAGATATGGCCCGCATTCGCCCTGTGACCCCTATATAAATCTCCCCGCAGCTCCTTCCCACTCATTCTTGCGCACCTCTCGCACGCACACGACTCGAAGGGCGACTCCTCCCTCGCCTGCTCCGTGACGAACCCTCAGCCGCGATCTATCATTCTCCTCGACATGTCCGACGGCAGCGCAACCTCCGTAGAGATCAACGATGCTCTCTTCTGCACCCATTTCAAGGAGGTCGTGAGTATCCAGTCGCTTTTCGTGGTGCGTATCGTGCACTGATGTACTTCATGTTGTCCCACAGTGCACTGAATGCTCCTTCGACGGACGGGAAGAGAACGACAGCTTCTTCGGGGTGCGTGCACTGACTGAACTTATGTATCTGTCCCTCCGTGTTTACTGATTTTCCTCAGTTTGACCCGATAGACCGCGAGGGCATCGAAGCTCCGCCCGCCAGCGTCAACAAGGACGGCGAATACCAGTGCAAGAAGCATGGCTCTACCTGTGCGTTTCCTGATACTGTATATCGCGACGCGCCTGTGGATTGACACGTCGTCCAGCCTGCAACCAGTGCTTCGGGTGGAAGAAGCAGATCACCAGGGCCCGGACGGCCGCCAAGAAGGCGGGCAGGAAGTAGTCGCGAGTGTACGTCTTGCTGGAGGATCGAAATCACGAACGTACGTTGTATAAAGAGGAAGGTGTAAGAAGTGTGATTTGTGGCACGCCAATCAATGTATCATATAACAACTCGTGGCGTACAAATTTATGCGCCGCTGCGTGATGTTAACGACTCGCCCACCTTGGAGTGCTTGTCCTCGATGCTCTCGTCCATTGCAGCCGCAGCCGCAGAAATGGCGCGTTCCATGCATACACACGGCATTCACGCTGATCTCCATGCATTGGGCCGGTGTTCTATTGCATACATATGCGCCAATAAATTTACTAATCGCACCGACGTAAACTCAGAATGCTGCTTTTAGAAAGCATACGAAAGCGATGTCTAAATCTACATGATGACAATGCAAGGCTCTATAATGTACAAGCACAACATACAATCAAGTCACAAGCCCTCAACTCCAACACGCAACGCTTGCTCCACGTCAGCAATTAAGTCCTCTGTCTCCTCAACCCCAACGGAGAGCCGGATGAGGTTATCGCCAATGCCTAAGTGGGCCCGCTCAGCCGGAGGAATACTGCCATGCGTCATCTGCGCCGGCAGTTCTGCCAGACTCTCAACCCCACCAAGGGACTCCGCCAGCGTGAATAAACGCGTGGCGGTGAGGAACCTGTCGGCCTCCTCCGCGCCGCCGCGTATCCGGAAGGAGATCATCCCGCCATACGGAAACCCGCCATCCGCGTTACGCTCAGCATAATCGTCGACGAACTTCCGCGCGTGCGGCGACAGCGAGCGATACGCAAGGTCGTTCCGCGGATGCGACGCTAGTCCAGGGTATATGACGTCCTCGACGTAGGGCGAACGTTCGAGCGCACGTGCGACCGCAAGCGCGTTCGTGCCATGCGCCTTCATGCGCAGGTGCAGCGTCTTCGCGCCGCGCTGCGCGAGCCAGCAGTCGTACGCGCTCGGCACGGCGCCAATCGCGTTCTGCAGGAAGCGCAGCTTCTCTGTGAGCGCGGCGTGATGTGAGGGGAGGATCAGCGCGCCCATGACGACGTCCGAGTGCCCGTTGACGTATTTCGTGAGGCTGTGCATGACGATATCCGCACCTTGAAGGAGAGGTGAGGAGTAGAATGGTGAGAGGAAGGTGTTGTCGACGAGGACGAGGGGCGATGAGGAAGCTTCGCGGGCGAGGGAGACAATGTGGGGAATGTCGATAAGTCGAAGGGTAGGGTTTGTGGGTGATTCAATCCAGACCAGCTTTTGAAAGCCATAAGTATGAAGATGGTACATGAAGGTAAGGACACGAACTTTGGTATTCGGACGGAATGCCGCTGCGATCGTTTCATCATCAGCGTTCTCGAGATCAACAAACGTTGTCTCGATCCCTTGGTTTTCGGCAGCGACCCGTGTCATATACCGGAATGTACCTCCATACACGTCGTTGACGCTGACAATATGGGCGTTGGGACCGAGGGATTGTAGCACTGTCGCAGTCGTTGATGATCCAGACGCAAAAGCGAGACCATAAGCGCCACCGGACTCCAGAGATGCGAGAGTTGTTTCCAGCGCATTTCGGTTCGGATTTCCTGAGCGAGAATACTCAAAACCCTACGAGGCGCAGTCAGTACCAAACTTCCCGGGAAACATGTCATGTTGACTTGCCTTATGATTTCCAACACCATTCTGTTTGTAAGTCGTGCTCAGCGATATCGACGGAATAACAGCACCAGTCTCGGGATCTGGCTCCGATCCAACGTGGATCGCTCGTGTGCCAAACCCGTCTGTACGTGCTTTAGTGGCTCCGTTGGTGTGTGCATTCTCGGAGGCAGTACTGAACCCCTTCAAAGCGGCGGGCGACATGGTGGGTGATTGAGAGGTGCTTGGGTGAGAGGAAGGATGTCCGGCTAAGGAGAGTTTGCTGTCTTTTTATGAGGCGCGCCATGGTGGTACGAACAATGTCAGCACCGCTCGCGACAGCATGACGAGATTGGCGGAATAACTGACGAAAGGCGCTGTCTGCGGATCTAATCCGGACGACTCCCGCTTTCTAATGCGATTCCCCTTCTGCGTTGGGACACGGCAGACACAGTAAGCTTTACGCTTCACAAGCTATCGAAGAGAGGTACGGACGAACCAACGACAAGCTGAGTTTTTTAAAACTTTGCCAGAATGCGAAAAAAAGGATTCAGACACGTGATCATAGCCGGTGGTACAACTCCTGGCTCCAGCCAGTCTGAGTCAAATTCCTCCATCTCGTTTCTGTGGCGCTCCGTATTCTCTCATCATTTTAATCCCCAGCGGTAGGTTATGCAACTTTTGGATCCCCTTATGCTATGTCGCACAGGCACACTATCTGACTTTACCCCATTCAGACGCTGGTACAGCTCTTAGCGCTCGAACCTCTTCGACCCCTGTAAACCACCATGAAATTCACAAAAGCTACACCTGCCAGGTAGAGACCTCACCTGAAAACACATCTATATCCTGATACAAGGATGTTTTATTTGCCCATCCAGCGGCGCGGCCTATTATCGCGAAGCCATGGACATTGACGTCTCTAATCTGTTTGACGATATGTTCAACAGTACGACAAGCTATTCTCCTACCTTTCTCCAGTATCCCTCGCTCGTATCTCAAGTGTGTGTCGGCGCACCCATTCCGCCGTAAAGGACTACAGCCGCCGCGCTCTTGACGTCAACAAGCTTTTGGCTCGGTTCGTCTCAGAGCCCATCGTCTTCCGATCTATGCAAGCGCAGACGGCGACACTCATTTCTGGCTCCTTCGCCCTGCAGCTCTTGGATAGGAGCTTTTACCCAGAAGCAGATTTAGATTTATAGGTGTACCACCAGCATGCACGGGAGCTCGGCCGATGGTTGATAAACGACGGGTATGACTTCGTCCCTAATTCAGTCCAAGATGCGAGTTTTGAGGAAGCCGTAAAGAGCATGAATACTTCGCCGGAACCGGTAGTACTCGTTGAAATATCCCAAGGTGTGCTTTAAGAGCCACTTTATCAGCATTATTACTTGGATCTTATAGAAGAAATGTTCACGTTCACGAAAGCGGCCCAGTCGGGTAACAGTGACGAATCCAAGTTGAAGGTCCAGATTATTGTTACCTCGACAACTCCCATGGAGTGCATCCTAGAGTTTAATTCAAGTCAGTGATCCCCTCTAAATTCTAATCCGCATATCCACGCAGAACTCACCTTCTGGGCCAGCCTGTGTCATGAACTTCGTCTCTATAACACTGCATATTCGCTCTATCCGTATGCTACTTTTGAGCGGCGTGAGTCGCTCGCAATCAGCTATGACAGTAAGAGCAGCAGTAAGACAAGAGCACTTGGCAAGTACGCCAGACGAGGGTGGAAGATTATTGCCCTTACGCCCCTTATTGTATCTCGGGTCGCCGGAGAGATCAGCCTTCCTCGAGAATTTTTCCCTGGGGTTCCCAGATGGGTAGTCGACAATAAGAGCTGGGTTGTGCATCTGGATACAACTGGGGTTGTTCCGCCTCGTGCGCTCTCACCATCTTCTACTGCACTGACTTGGGATCCTGCGGCTGAAAATAGCTGGATTATGATGCCATATAAGGACGGGGTTACACTCAAAACATTTTATATGTCGCACCAAATAGCGAAGACGACCATTCTGAAGTCTCGCTACGCCGTGGCTGACGACAGCTACCTAGGTTATTTGAGGGATTTCTTCCGAGTGCAAGGTGAACTGGAGTACTTCAAGTTGCCTCCTGACGAAGATAGGTTCAAGTCTGATGCATGGACATGGTACGTGCATGCCCATTGAGGTCTTAGGTGGGATTCTGTGCTCCCTCAATTGCGGCAAAATTTTTGGAGGGAACTCGAGGCTAAGCAGAAGGAGCAGATGGACAAGCAAACAAGATTAGAGCTGTAGTTAAGTTGTGTTAATCCTAGTGTAGAATATACGAGGCAGCAAAGTGCCTCGAGCTGTAATTCCACCAAATTTAGCCAATTGCACCATTTCATGTCACATTGACGTTCGTTGGTCACGGAAACGTCGCTTGTAACGGCATGCAACAGGGTGACATCATGTCTAATGTCACGCTGTCCGCGCCGCCGTGTAGTAACTTTGGCTATCGACGACGGGCTTCGGCTGGGTTGCTGTTTGGACAACCTGTCGCTTTCGCTGCAAGAGCACAAGCTTCCCAGTGCTCGCATCGCTCTTCTCGCTATCAAGCGGCGAAGACCGACTTTCTTACTGCTTCAGTCGTTTTGATTACGCTCGCTTTGCCGATATCCAAGGTGTCTAGTATACGTTCGCTCCTCAAGTTCTGTACTTGTCTCACCGCACTCACGACTACTCACGACTGTTTATGACATATTTTCTATACATGTTATTCTGATACTCCCTTTGGAGGACAACGAGTAGTGATATCGATCGTATTCTCACACGCATTAAGCATGGCGGACATAGTGAATGGTAAATGCTTCGCGCAGGAAGCACCAGCTGAGCCTCCGCTCATTCAACATGGCAACATAGTCTTGCAAGGTCAGTTTTCCACAACACGGTAGCTAGTCCCACTGACAGTTTTCGTAGCTCATGATGTCGGTCTCGAATCATCTGGTTCACATATACTATCGGTATACTGAATCGTTGCTTTCGAATTTTACTCCAGATTGGTTGGATCATCACCGGTTGCTTCACCCTTCTTGCGTTGATTGGTTCTTTCTGGCTGATTAACAAACATTTGTTGTGGTACACAAATGTCGGTGCATCTATTACTTCTATGCATAAAGGCTCACCCTTCTCTGCAGAAAGTGGAACAACGATGTATGTTGTATGAATTTGACTATATTACGTAGCTGGACGTGTGACTTTGGTGCGCAGATATCGTGCGGATATTGTTCATGGTTCCTATATATGCAGTAATCACCTTTACTTCCTATCTTTTCTGGGTGAGTATGACCACCGATGGGCCAGGCTGAATTCCTATTGAGGATCTTCTTTTACTAGAATCACTCGATTGCGCTCCTCCTCATACGCGACTGCTACGAAGCCATCGTCTTAACGTCATTTTTCTACTTGATTCTGAATTATCTCTCCCATGACCCGCTGGAGCAGAAGGACATTTTTCGCAAGGAAAGTACGCACACATTTTAATCGCGACGAGCAGCCGTTGATGTGTTTACAATAGGTAGGACTATCGCGTGAAAATGACCGCGAAGCAAGGAGACAAGGGCGCACGCCGACTCGATGGGTGTTTCCACTTCAGTTCATTCGGTGGAAGCCCGAAGTTAGTTTGCTTCAGATGAATTTTGTTCGCTCCAAGGCTTATGCGCGATACGCAGGATGGTCTGCACTTTTTGCAACTCATGAAATGGGGCGTATTGCAGTATTGCGTTGTTAGACCGATGTCAGTCTTTGCACTGTTAGCGATTCAAATTCACTGCTGATATACTAAGTGTAGTACCACGCTTGCAGCCGTGATCCTCAATTACATAGGCCTGTACTGCGATGATTCTTGGAGTCCTGGATGGGGACACCTCTACGTGAATATCACGTCATGCGAGCTGCGAACTTATAAGGCTCATTCTATCGGCCTAGATCACCGTGATTATGTCGATATCTGTGACCATAGCGATGTACTGTCTCCTTCAACTTTACGTCCCCATTTCTGGTCATCTGGCGCCTCATAAGCCATTGCTTAAGCTCTTTGCGGTCAAAGCTGTTGGTGAGTTTGTAGATATCATGTTTACTACATCCTAGTGACCTACTTTAGTATTTCTCACATTCTGGCAAGAGACATTTGTATCGCTCTTGGAGGATTTCGGTGTAATCAAGGATGTGCGTTTATTTTTCTGGGACTTATCATCTAGTCTAACGGATGGCCCCGTCGCTCACAGACCCAATACATGACCGCTGATAACATCGCCACCGGCATCAGCGCAATCTTAGAGACTTTCGAGATGACGTGAGTATACTTTTTTTCTGCAAACTATACGCCGTCTTGATACAGCTCGGAATGACCGCCTGGTGTCCTCAGCCTGTTCGCACTCCTCCACATGCGCGCGTACACTTATAAGGTTTATTACACTCCTCCCAATTGCACAGTGCGCTGGCGCTCCCTGCTTCATGCCATGAACTTCAACGAGACTTTTCGCGAGCTGTGGACGGGCACTGTCTACATGATCCACAGGATGCGGAATCGCGAGACGGATGCGCTCTCACGAAGAGAGGCGGTGATGGAGGATGTGTTTGGAAAGTCGAGAATTGACATGCGCAATCGTGTGCATCCACGTAGCGAGAAATCGCCATTTCATGACCAGACGCCCCTGCCCGTCGAGGCAGACGAGATTGTTCATATCGATGTTGAGCGGCAGTGGCTGGGTATTGGCGATGATTACGGTTATGGCCTGGGTGAGTACTCTAGAAGCAGGAAGGAACGAAGCGATCCTCTCGAAGATCAGATCGAAAGAGAGCTGCTTGTCAGAGGACACAAGCGATGTATGTCTGACGTTGCCTACTTATGTGATGGCTGGCTGACTCGTACTGCAGCGCAATCCAGAGATCACGGTGCTAAATACTCTTACCTTCACCCTGATTCACCTGATAATGCGACCCCCATACATCATCGCCATCCATCCTGGTGGCAAAGTATGTTCCCGTCTAACGAGGAGGGGCATTCCCACCAAGACCGCCCTTGGAGACGATCCAGAACAGATCCAACCTTGGCCCATTATACTTATGATGACCCGCCTCCACCTTCTGCCATACGGACCTATCGTAGTAGTCAGAAGAACTTGGTGGCCGATGCAGTTAAGGTGGCTTCAGTGGATCTCTTACCTGCATCGCGCTGCACTCCCCTTTTATCACACCAAACTCAATCAATTCTTACTGACAAGAGGCAAGAGCGACCACTCCCAGCTCCGCCAGCTTTATCTCCTACATCGCTATCTCCTATCGATTCAACTTCAGATGTTACCTCGCGAAACTCGGACAGTTTCCTTCACCGAGCCTTTGTTGGCCTCCCGGATTCTTCAAGCTCTGCAGAAGTGACTATTTCTACTCCCCCGTCATCTCAGTCCCATCGCACGCGAGTACGCCTAATTGGAGAGCCTCAAATCTTGATTCAAGAAATTAGTTCTGCACGACGTCCTATTCTCATCCGCTCCTTAGCTCCCACTGGGACCCCAGTTGCAACCGCGAGCAATCGTGCTACCTTGACCACGCTCCCAGAGTCGCCGTCACAACGACACGGTCGGCCGGCCGGTGACCAGCACCCTGTCCCCCCAGCTCCCCGCACAGCTTCCAGTCCTAGAAAATCAAGCCATCAGCGGCCCCATTTCCGGCCAAGATTTACGCCTTCTAGGGATCAAATCGTCCTTCCTACTCCACTTTCCTCAGCACTGAACGGCCGGGCTCAGACTAACACATCTGCGCCATCAGCTGTAGAGCCGAGGATACTTCCTCTCGACTCCTCACCTGCTCCCGCTCAACCACCTCAGTCTCATGTACTCGATCTGCCCCTCAACGTGATTTTTCCTCCTCCGAGTCGCAGCGTGTCACAAGATCCTTCAAGGCATCTGCATTTGTAACCTCTTATTGTATGCGTGTTCCGGTACCGGTGTATTCAAAATGACTATTACGATTGTTCATGACTTATTACGAACATCTAAATTATGATTGCTCGATTGTATTCCTTATGGTCTCCTTGTCCAATCCACTTGTGTCCATTCGCTAAAGAGCGCGCATTATTATGTCGGACGTACTGAAGACGCAAGTGCCATGGGAATTGACACAAGAATGACTAATCGGCCCTCTGATTGAATCGCATGCATGTATACCAGAATGGCCAGTAATTTGTGAACTCAGACTTGACTCGATCATTGCTCGACCTAGAGTGGCACTTCCAAGCCCTTCCCTGTATGCATAAGGCTTGTATTTTGAAAGACTGAATGAATATGCCTTGGAACTACACGACGCGCCAACGTAGAAGGGGTAAAAACGATGATTACATTATCTGGGCATAACACGTATTCTCTTCACGAGAAATACATTACATATGACATATTGGGGTGTAGCTGCTTGAAGTACCGCTTGAAGACCTCAAGCTCAAGGTCGTAAGCATCAGGCTCCTGGTCCATCTGGACAGCTAAGTCTAAGATGGAGGGATCGTAATGATTCTTGGCCCGCGCGCAAACTATGTCCGCGTCTAGACGAGTGATCAGAGGACCGGCTACTACACCTGCATTAAATAAGGTGCTCACAGTATACCGGTGCCGGGATGGATACAGAACGAGTCGAGCGGGCGTACACGTGGCACAGCGCGTACGATAGAGCTTGCAAACTGTCCGGTCTGGAGGCACTCGTGTTGAACATACGTTGCATAAGAGGACAAGGAGGCGAATGCATACGTAAAGTTATTCTCATCATGGAGCACGCTGTAGTGAGCCGGGCGTGATGTTCCAAGCAATGTAGAAAACCCCAAACGTAGCTGATGTTAGAAATGTCATATGTAGCAGGTGTGCGATCGGGACTTATCCAGCGTGACTGAGGAGATACCAGTCCAGCTCGAGAGGATGTGTGACCTCTCGGTCAACGACCGTACCCGCTGGGCAATTACCACTACGTCGGTCCACGTCTCTGAGATGCTGAGGGAACAAGCGGACATGGTGCCTTTTCCCGACAACTATAATGGTAATGGTGGGATTGATCTTAAGATTGGCGCAAGCATCTGCGAGGGAGTGAGGGGTGCTATCAATTCATAATGGTGGAATATTGAAACTCTGATACGCACTCTTTAGAAGTGGGAGCTCTGAATGATACATGAAGACAGAATGTTGAGGACTGTTTCATAGTCCAACATTTTATCACTTACCCCATTCGAGAACCTTTTTAAACTGGCCTTCGGATACGCCATCTGATGGTAGTTTATAAAAATGACCAGTATCATATCTCCGGAAGACAAACCGCGGTAGAAGATGATTCGTTTCGGCGCCCCTTTTGGCTTTTTTTCGCACTTCTCCCGGTATTCCATATATCTCTTCAGCATGTGCTAGGATATTACAGAAATAGGAGCAGAGTCAACTTTTGTTCGCATACACCTACCTCGCTCATTTTCTCCAAATCCTCAATGCATTCTAGCCGTGAATTCTGGACGCGGCAGTCAGCAATGTACCTGGCGGCATTTGAATCTACGTTAGCGACGAGGGCGGCGTAAGATGGGCGGCTCGCTCCGGGCGCATGGCGAGCAACATCGGCACTGCAAATAAGGTCAATAATCGTAAAAACAGTTATCCAGGACCAAACGTACCCCATGATAATCGTGGGGTTGTGTGGGTCAGAGAGAATTGGTACAGAATACGGCTTTGGGATCATGTTGATACCGCCGAGCTTGACATTCAGCCTGAAACTAAATCAATTGACGTCCGCTCACGCAGATGACATTGCATGCTTACTTGAGTGAGACGTTCGCAAAATACTGGTCCTTCGCCCCTTTACACTTGCTGGCCTTCATACATTGAGTTGCGACACCCACCTGTTAGGACTGTTAAACATGCACAATATTTAGCGAAAGGCTAGGATCATACAGCAATATCGCCAAAACTATGACAAAGTCAGCAAAAAGAATACTAGGTGAAGACAGATTACTCACTGCTTGACAGCCGTATAAATATCCTCACCATTCTCGGGAAGAATAACTACCACTAACGAGGGGAAGGCTCCAAACCTCTGACGGCATGCTCGACCAGCGGCTTTCAGCTGCTGCATGCAGGGTTCAATATAAGAATCTCAACGCGAAGCTGCAAGTTGATATACTCACCTCTCCAATACAGCCTTGACCATTCTCCCAAGAAACAAACGGTCCCTTCTTACCAACAGTCATACCTACAAGGGTTTATAGAATTTTAAATCGTATACCAGGAAGGATTCGGATGCTTACCCACTTTCTGGCATGCTGACCGGAGCCGTTTGATAATTTCTCCCGCGTGTGCTTCTGTGAAGTCCTTCTGGAGCTCGTAGATGACGACCACCCATTGGTCAATCTTCGCGGGCTTCCAAAATTTTTTGTCAATCCTGTTAAATAAGTATGTCGGCGGACTATATTTGAAGACGAATAAGCAACAGCAAACATACATATCCCAGGCGCCATCCTGAGGTTTCTGATAAAAGGATGTTACGTAGATCCATCAGGCAGATTGGAAGCAATGGCTTACTATGGTCGGTTGTCTTGAGCCAGCACCGTACTTGAGAGTGGGCGGCTGGAGGACTCGTGCTTGAATGGAGAGCGGCCTCACATCGGGCGCTACAAAGATGCCGAATTGCTGGCAAAGGGGGTTACCACAAGTTGCAATGAGTGATAGGAGGCCGTACTTACCCTCACATATTCTGACTGACCGTAGGCAAGAACCTGGATCAGGCCGGCATCAAGTGTCAACATGAATATTCAATTTTAAAGTCACGTACACCCAAGCCGTTTACAATGCTCCGCAGACGCTCTCGGGGCTCCTTCGTCGCGAAGTCCAGTACAGCCTTCGTCTTCTCAGGTGGCACCTGTTTGCGCATTATCTGTCCCTTGGGGACCTCGCATAACTCCAGCGGGATCTGGGTGCTATTGCGGCGGTTGCGGGCACTGTTAACCTACACGGAGTGAGCATCGAGATGACAACGGGCTTGAGCACCAATTTCAGATGCTTACCTCTACACAAATGACATCAGGGAACTGCAAGCGATAGTTGTACATCTGCTGAAAATGCTGTGCGACTGTCGTCGTCCCTCCTTCTCGCATGGTGAATGTGCACATGTTAGCACCAGTGGAAGTGAGCTTCCTAACAATCCAAGGTTCATTCTGAACCTGCTGAACCTCTTGACCAGGGATCATTTTAAGAACCTGGATTCCACTCAAGAAATGCTGCAGGCGAATGCGGTCGCGAGCCTGAAAACCGCGCTCGGGTGCAAGGAAGTTAGGATCTTCTTTGCCGAGGAAAGCAAGACAGAGATCAATGAGGTGACCATCCTGGTAAATGGTGCCAGTATTGATATCCATATTGATCAGTATCTTTCCGATCGCGGGACGAATCGACTGAAAGTATCCCCTCCAGAGGATAATTCCACCGCCGATGTCCTTCGTCTCGCGGTCAGTGAAGAAGCTTCGCACGTTAAACGAATACTTCAAATAATGTTCTTGTCTCATTGCAATGTCGAGTGCCTGGGAGACCAGTGTCAATCTGCGGTCATGATTTAAAACAAATAATGTCGATGATACCGTGATAGCCGTCTGTACATTGTGATCGTGTGATTGCTTTCCCTCCAGGAAACGAGCGAGGTTCCTACATTTGGCATGGGTATCAAAGGCCTAGAACATAGGTAATATATGCGCACTCAAAATTGATCTGAGTAATCCAGGTCAGGTGGATCTTATATATTTTTGGACCACGACCTTTGAGAGCGGTAACACCAGCAGGAGCAGGATCATCAATAGGTACATCGAACTACAATATGGCGATCAGCTACGCTGCGGACACATCCAGACAAATGGCCAGCTACCTCTTGCCTTTGGCTCTCTCCGAATGGCAGCTCGCGCATGGCGAACATATTCTTTCTGCCGTCATATACAGCGCGGGGAGTGAATATTTGCGGTGCGACGACCTGTTGCAAGTGATCGATTAGCTCCATGTTTCGCCTGGTGGGGAGTATCTCTTCGTCAGGATAAATCACTACACGACTGTGAGCGCCACAATGGTGTGAATGGAATACAACGTATACGTGCCGACTGTATTATGCGTATGGTGGAAAAATGAGATCGCATTTAATGGTAGACACAATAGAATCACGCGCCGTCATAGTGGTGAATGATTGCGTCGGGGATTTTAACCGGGAAGTGATTAGTCCGTAGAGTTATGGCCCTACCAGCAGTACCAAAACCAGTACGTTTCACGCCGATGGTGGAGACATGAGCATTGGTCGACGGCAAATCTACAGTAACGGCGCTTCCCCGCGAAGCGAAACCGCCATCCCTGCTAGGAGGGCCGCCGCGACCTCGTCTAGCTGTTGAAGGATTTCCTCTCGGAAGCATGTAGAAGACAAGAGTGCTGTAAATAAGGATGTGCGCAGTAGGGGAGGATGGAGGGGGGGAAAGATAGATAGGGAAGAAGTATTTATCGTGAAGGAGAGTCCGAAGCAGCTGATAGCAAAGAATTCACTGACCTGTTCTTCACTGGACCGTATCCGGAAACCCTTGACGCTCAACTACGATATCATTAGGCCTCCGTATACGATGTCTTCCGACAGAAAGATTCACACCAAACATGACGCGAATCATTCTTGCACTTCAGCTTCATTTCCATTCCAGAGTGTCATGCATCGTCTTCGAGAATATAGGCCTTGTGCGTACGGCATACAACGAAAGCGCAATTGTGAGACCTAACCAAGCAACCATGAATGCCCGCGTCATGTCCGAGAAAGTAGCAATCCTTTCAGTACACGTCCAGTTCTTCATAGAAGTCCTATTTGGGGGCAAGTGTCACCTGAAGTAGAAAAATAAGGCGCTTCAAAGTTTTGCGAGGACATTGCAATTGGTCGTGACAGTATACCATTGAATGACTATAAAACTACGTACGTGGACTCTCTCGCCAATAATGATCATTTGCTGAAATGTGGGGCGAGATTTAAACGTACAAATAGACAATATGTCTTAGGCAAAGTCTTCTACCCATCCTGATGGGCCACCACCCCCAAACATATCTTCATCGGGACCCCAACCTGCCTCGTCTTTGTGCTTGATGGCCTGTACAAATCGCAGTGATGAGCAACTCGCAATGAACTTGGAAGCAAGATATGAAATAGACCTTGGTCAAATAGTCCTTGTTTGCGTTCAGAGACCTCTCCATGTCAAGCAGCATCTTGCCCTGAACTTGAGCTTGCTTCAGCATTTCATCCACAGCCTCTTTGGAAACCTGTGGGACTGGGTCGAAGAATGTCACAGTGCCATCCGCGGATATACTCGCGCCAATCTCATCCGACTCTATCTGCGAATCATATTCATATCAATACAACTCCCAATGATACAATGGACAAATCACGCACCATGCTGATTAAAATGGCGCGAAGCTCGTCCTCGCTGTCTATACCGACTTCTTTTGCAATGTCTGCAAGACCCAGCGTAAGATAAGTGGATGTGAGCTTCTTGATCAGCCAGCGGGGTGCACGCTCAATCGCCTGGTGAACAAGACCCAGGTTCTTCTCCTATATGGCAAAGGAAACACATTTGCGTAAATAAAGGTAAGTGAACGTAAGGAAGCAATGCCAACATTGCTGAAGATCTCGGTCTCCTTCGCAGTAATGGCCTGCAGTATTGACCTCTTGAGGGGATATGCCTTGATAAATGCACCGTATGGTGAATTTTTGAGCGTGCGCTGAAGAACTGGATTCGTGTACTTCGGTGGGGGAACCGTCTGGAGGCTTAGTGAGTCGGGAGTGGCGGCTCGACATGGCTCGGACACTGTTCAGTCCTACCTTTCCGTACAAGATCAGCTGTACGAGTACGAGTTTCTTCGATGCCTCCATCTGAATCGCCGCGGGGATCTGCGCTGGAGAACTCGCGCAAATCTCGAAAAACTCTTCTGCCTCACGCCATCGCTTCAACGCGGCAAGCGCGACTCCGCCTGCGTAGTGGTAAATGAGGTTGTCATTGTAGTGCAGGTTGGAAATCCCCATGTCTATCAATGTAATCGGCACTAATAGGAGTGGTAGTGCAGCAGTGTAGTGACGTGTGGCGACACATGTCTATGAGGCACACATTTATCATGATGCCCGACCCTGTCAGTTGGACAATGCTTACCGTCAGGAATAGGGGATGTAACGTCGTTAGATGTGACAGAGATGGAGGATACCTGGTTACTAGCTTGTAGAGAGGTCCGAGAGCAGCTTTTGGCTTGGATGTCGAGTCAATTGTCAGGTCAGCTTATCAATATGTTAGACGCTCACATTCTCTTTCGTCGCTCGCACAATCTCCTTGCCCAGCTGTGTCACTGGATACGTGTTATGAGATGAGTGATACGAATGTGAACGGTACACACCTCGTTCAGGCGCAAGGCGTGCCTGAAATGGATCAAATCGATCGCAGAATGGCTGAACGAAATCGAATGCTCGCGCTACGTGGTCGTTCGACTGCAGTCGCGCAGTTCTAATTAAGTTCATTGAGATTCATAAGTCGACGTGAGATTACACAACAACGTACAGGATGTAGAGGAACCCGAGCGTGTGGCGTTCCACGTCTAACAAAGACAATGGATCCTGCCCATCTGCTAGAGTACGGACGAGGAGCGAGTCTTTCGCGTCCTTTCTCAAGATCTGGACAAGGGCCCTAGGATTGTCACTCGACACTATCTGATTGAGTAGGTCGTCTATTGAGATTTGGATCGTGCTCGATTGCAGAGAAGAGCCGGATGGGCCAGATTGTGACTGAGACCCAGAGGGGTTCATGGCGTGGAGCTATAAAGATGTGCCACAGGAAATCAGTACTGGAGTGGAATACAACGCATTTCCTACGCTGTCACTTGAAGAAATAGAACAGAAAGAATGTCAAACTAGAAAATCTGCGACACATCGACCAAGAGCCCCCAAGAAGTCGTGATTGCCGTGGATCCTGAAGTCGGAGGAGATGGGAGCCCACCTAAAGCACTCGGGACAGCCGGAGAAGAACCTATTGTCTGTAAACCAGGAGAGATGTTGTCTGGGATTATCGGGATATCTGGGCCCGCCTCAAACCAACGGAAAACTCAGAGCAAGACGCGCCTCACGCGAGGCGATAGTCCAGTCAGACTGCAGGTGCAAGTCGTCCCTTTGAAAGACGCCCGGTTCCTTGGCTCAATGTCGCAACGTGACCCCGCCACAAACTCGGCATAATGCATCCTATTCGAATCAAAGTTGAGGTTAGGACTTGGCTTATCGCGCTCTACTAGAATCCCTCCTTCCCTCTGACGATTACTACGATGCTGATTTCCAATATCATAGCCACTGGATTGTACAATAGCACATACAATTCTGCTTTACACTTCTGCTTGTATCTCAACTCATCACCCGCTACAAATTCAGAAACGCGCTCTCCCTGACGTCAGTCACTCCTGCCTGTGCTTCTGGTAATAGTGAATGAGGCCGGTGGTCTAACCCAAATTGTTCAGAAATCAGCCAGCATACTACAGATACCAAGAGCAACTCACCGAGCTGTCATGGCCAATAACATCCTCAGGCTTGTTGAGCTGAGCGAGAATGTTCTTGGCGAGAACTTTGCCAAGCTCGACGCCCATCTGGTCTGTAGACGAAAGGTGGTCGGATATACGTCCATTGCTATGGAAGATATATAACTAACCGAAGGAGTTGATACCCCAGATTACACCCTGTGTGAAGATCTTGTGTTCGTAAAGCGCGATCAGAGCACCCAGGGTCGCGGGCGTGAGTTTGGGGAAGATGATGCTATTACTCGGTCTGTTGCCCTCGAACACCTTGGACTTGACCAAAGGCTCAGTGGCATTAGGGCCCAACTCCTACATCGATTGTTTAGGCGTCAGCAGAACGCAACGGGAACGTGCATAATTCAGATACTCGCATTTCGGACTTCCTCCTCGGTCTTACCAAACGCAAGGGCTTCAGGTTGAGCAAAGAAGTTACTGAGTAGGATACGGTGATGGAGGGAGCTGCGAATGGGATTATGTGTCGTTGCGGGAGCAATGAAATCGGCGGGAATAAGTTTCGTCCCTTGGTGGACCAATTGGTAGAAAGAGTGCTGTCCATTGGTCCCAGCAGCTCCCCAGATGATGGGCTGAATCCATGATCAAGGAAGTCAGGAGCGTTCAAATTGGATCAGACTGCAAGTACTAACACCAGTCTGGTAGTCCACGCGCTGGCCACCCTTGGTAACGAACTTACCGTTCGACTCCATGTCGCCCTGCTGGAAGTAGTCGGCAAACTTGTGCAAGTACTGGTCGTAAGGTAAGAGCAGCTGCGTCTGTGAGCCGTAAAAGTCGTTGTACCAGAGGCCAATCAAAGCCAACAGGACAGGCAAATTCTTCTCCAGCGGCGCGGTTTTAAAATGTTTGTCCATCCCGTGCGCGCCCTTCAAGAGCTCCTCAAAGTTGTTGTAGCCAATCACCAGGGCGATGGACAATCCTATAGCACTCCAGAGACTGTAACGACCGCCGACCCAATCCCAGAACTGGAACATATTCGCCTCAGCGATACCAAACTCAGTGACCGCCTTTGTGTTTGTGCTGAGCGCGACGAAGTGTTTTGCGACGTGCGCCTTATCTTTCGCTGTCGCCAGGAACCAATCACGCGCACTAGTCGCGTTGGTAATCGTCTCCTGGGTCGTGAATGTCTTACTGGCAATGATGAAGAGGGTCGTCTCCGGGTCACATAGGAGCAGTGTCTCTGCTAGGTGTGTGCCATCGATATTAGACACAAAGTGCGCCGTTAGGTCCCGCTTTGCGTACGGCTTTAACGCCTCTGTCACCATGACGGGCCCGAGGTCGGATCCACCGATACCGATATTCACGATTGTGTTGATCGGCTTGCCGGTGTAGCCCTTCCACGCGCCGCTACGGACGGCCTCGGAGAATTCTTTCATGTGCGCGAGCACGCCCTGTACCTCGCTGACACCCGCCTCACTGATTTGGAAGTCATTGAAATTGCGGAGCGCAACGTGGAGCACAGAACGGTCCTCCGAGGTATTGATGTGCTCGCCGGCGAACATCTTGTCGCGGTACGTCTCGACCTCGGCCTCTCGCGCGAGGGTGAGCAGCGTCTGGAGGATCGGCTCCGTGATCAGATTCTTGGAGTAGTCAAGCAGGAAGGTCACAGAGGGACCGTCGGGGGAGACATATTCCTTGCTAAATTTCGAGAACCGAGAGGGGTCCTGGGCGAAAAGTTCTTTTAGCACTAGCTTGGAATGGTCAGAGTTATAGATCTCCTGAAGCTTTTTCCAGGCCGGATACTCTGTACAAACGCGTAGGGTTAGCTGCTATATCCAACAAAGGCACGGATGAATGGGATGATGATAGGACTACGCAGAGGAGCAACTATATGCGCAGATCTGACGCGATCTCAAGAGCACTTCCACTTGTCCGAGGCGACGAAGTCAAAGGCACGGATAGCTCTACTCACCGGATGCAAGTCTGCCGCTCATGGTGATGAGGCGAAAGCGTATAGGAATGAAAGGAGGGATAACGGTGTCGAGCAGGCGGACCGGGTTTGGCGTTATAACGTCCTGATCGTGTGAATTATGACCTCAGCTCGACGCCGTGCACGTTCTCAGCGTCGCGCTCACTTTCCGTACACTCCCGTACCCGCGACCGCACCGACGCCTGCTTATGCCGATGTCTCTCAGTTTGTCCCGATTTTCTCATGGTGACCGCGCGCGCTGCGTACCCACCGTATCAACCTAGGCAATCAGACCCTCTGGAACGACAGAATTAGCAAGAACGTGAACGCCTGTAACTCATCTCGGGATGTAACCGTCGCAGTAAGTCGCACGGACGCAGAAAGAGTGGTGTCTGTAGTATGGCAGAAATGTGGCAATCCAGATGGCGTCTATCCAATATGAATGCACGTTCCTCATTCGGTCCCATCTGTAGGTACATGCACCTCCAGCACCCATGGGTGCGTTCACACTGCGCAGCATTTCACCGAACCAATCACTCATTTTTGCAGGTCAGAGAAGGCGTGAAGTCCGAGATGGGAGCCTGTCAGCGATGTTGGCAAGACGACAGTGTGAACGCCAGATTATACCACGGCACTAAGAGCAATTCATTGATCCTTTGTGCAGAGCACATACGTGCCTGGTTCAACCCTGTTTAGCAGGCCCTTTGCAATCAAGTGATACCATGAGATTAATCTTTGTACTTGTCATATGTTGCTTGATCCATGTCATCTGGAGATATGTCCATCTCCATCATAACCCCCTGGGTTGAATGTAGATAATTGACATTTTACTAATGAACTATCTACTCAACGCGATGGCGATGGTTTAATCAGTCATTTCACTTCGTTCACTATCTCATATAAAGGCTATGATATCCACAGCAGATCTATACCCTTAGCCTCACACTGTCAGGTTGAGTCTGGTACTGCTGTAGCTCTTCCTGAGACAAATATATCAATAATCTGATTTCTCATCAGTCCATATCAAGTCTAGTATTTCCACACCTGCTATGAGTGAGCTAGACAAGACCTATGGTGCAATATTGATTGGCACAACAGCAGCATCTGTGTATGCTTTTCTGTTGCTAATTATACAACTTGATATGCTGAGCTACAATCTATCTTAAGATTGTTTGGGATTACCAATATCCAGGTCTTTCAATACTATAGAGAATACTCAGGTGATCAAACCAGGTATAAACTTGCAGTTGCTTGGCTATGGTAAGCATTATCTCAATATACTCCAGGTGGTCTAACCTTTCATAATATCTTATTAGGTTAATAGATATGGTCCATCTCTTGTTCTGCTTTCACCTTCTATACTGGGCACTTGTCACAAATCATGCCTTTCCTATACTGCTGGATTATATAATTTGGAGCTGCAAGGTAGAGCACATGATAAGTTTTGACATTGCTAAACAAAACTGATGGTATTAATAGGCACAATTTGTTCTTGTTACAGCTTCGAGGGGGATTTTCTTTCTTTTCCTAACTATTCGTCGTTGACCCTGTAACTGTATGACTGATCC